TTACAATCGATACCCCACTGCTTATCTAACTGCGATACGACCTTCACAAGGACTTCCATCCTCCTTGTTGGGCCGGGAGCGTCCTCCCCGCCGGGCTGGTCCTGCCGCTCCGGCCGCCGTTCACCCGTCCAGGCGACAGTCCCGGGTTTCGGCACCACTTGTTGCCTATCGTAGGCGTGGCGACCTGGTTCGGGAACGGCACGGCGACCAATCCCAGGTCGCTCGGTCCATCGGCTCGCTGACACCAATGTGGTGGACGGCAAATGGCGTTTATTGGCGGGAAAAACAGCCTTATATAACCTGGGCACTGAACGCTATTGGCTATCGGGAGGGGGACCCTGTCTTCCCGTACAACGCGATATCTTCCGGGCGCCAGACCCTCACTACCGCACTTCAGGTGTTATTTTAGCCCCTCCTGTGCAGACAAAAGTTTTTTTATGGTTTCTGGGACACTGTCCTATGCGGTTCAAAATCCCTGAGCAATAACTGAAATACAGAGAAGGTGTTACATGTCGTAATTAATACTTCCCCCTGGACTGCCACCCCAGGCTTGCTGTGTATGCTCTGAAATGATCAGGAATGCCTCTTTGCCGAGCTTCTTCCTATGTAGGATGTAGCAGCCTTATTTGCCTTATTTGCACTACCAGAATTTTTAATTGCATTTGCCACATCCCTCCATGTATTCATACTAATTTCTTCTTCACAATGGTTTCTTCTAATCAAACCCTGAATTTATGTCAGTCAGGTTGTATCACCTCCCTAAATGACGCAAGTTTGTATTTTGGGTGCTTCTGTGTGGAGACAGGGGTTGGACTCAATCCTTTGGATTCCTTCCAGCTTAGGATATTCTATGATTCTGTGATTATATGATATAAAATCTACAGAGCATATACAGAAATTTCATGCATGTTCAGTGTCTTCTCATGTAATTATACTTTAGGTCCCCTCACACTGCTCCATAAATATTGTCAAACAGACTTGCCTCATCATTTGATACATTCTTTATCTTCAAGTAGGCTTTTCCTTATTAGAGGAGTGATTTGAGCCCTGTTCATGATCGATCCATCTTGAACAAGAACCTACATGGAATGGAACTGCTGTCTTTTTAGACATTTGCTTGCAAGCAAATCAACATATACAAACTTAGATGGACTGTGTGGACTTGTCTTTAGAAGTAACACCACTCATTTAGGAAGGAGAGAACGATGTATTGTGGATCTGGTGCACTGACTTCTAACAACCTTTACCAGAACATGGACAGGAACTTCCAAGATTTGCTGTGGGGAAACTGAAAAAAAATGCAGAAACAAGGATGTTGTAACTTGCCTGAGATTAATTGCAGTTGTCACTAGTTGTGCAAGTATGCAAATAAGAGAACTACTGTAGACTGGAAATTTCCAGAATTATGTTTCCTGGTGCAGTCATTGCTCATTGCCTGTGCTGTGTGTTGTTGCTGTGCTGGCAGGCTGCCTGGAACACTGCCTGTTGCTCCAGAGAATGCAGGAAATAGGGTTGGGCAAAAGGAGGTCCAGAGAGCATAATGACAGAGGGACAGAATTACAGGATCCCAAAAGTTATTGCTGTATGGCTGTTAACAGGTTCTAGATCAAGCTATGTATACCAGGTGAGATTGTGGCTCTAACAAAATTCTCACTTCTTTGCTGCACTTAGAATCTATCTCTATACAGGGGGCACTACTCAGGCCCAGGTCCTGCAATTACAAGGTGTCTGCAAATCATTTAGAACAGCAGAGACTCTTTAAGCAAACACATTGGCACATGTCTCCCATTTTCTTGTGTTTGTGCAGCTCATGAATGAAATCACATCTTAAAAACTGGCCTAGAGGACAGGAAGCCTGGCCTGTGTATAATGTCATTTTTTAAAATGTATTTCTTTAGGACAAAAAGGAGCATATTTCTGAGGTCAGATTCTGTGTTCATTTGCAAGTTTACAGCTTGCAGGTGTGAGCAGAGTTTAGCTTAAAATAACTGGAGGCAAAAGGACAAAAAAAAAAAAAGAGCTTAAAAGTGTGATGTCAGCAGGAGATAATGTGCCTCTGGGGCACTGGTTTTCTAAAGCTGAATTCTGTAATCAATACAACTCATTACTGACCTGTGCACAGTGTCACAAATGGCATTTTGATGAATGCATTTTGTCTTTCCATCATGCTCGCTAGTTAACAATTTCTGTGCCTAAATTGCTGAACCATGAGCACTGTGTCAAGGAAGAGGCAAGCAGCAGATTCCCTTTGTCGAGAGCAGGCAGTCTGTGCCAAGCTCTCAGTCAGTCATTTTCAACCTTCTTCCACTTAAACCCCTGCAAATTCTCCTATGGAGGTACAGGACTTTGTATAGATGCCTTTTCCCCCTGCAGTGATAACCATGCTGCTTCCTTTCCCTTTGAGGCTACTGACTGAGAAGTCTACTACTTTCAACTTAGACGTTCCATTTTTTCAAATTAGTCTCCCAGGCAATTTAATTCTTCACATCTTCACTTCGTCTTTAAAACAACAAAAAAAACTAACAACAACAACAAAAAAAAAACCAACCAGTCACTTTCTTATTATACCTCAGTTCAGTCCCTAAAAATACCGATGTTAGCATTGCAGTGTATTGAACAATTCATACATCAGGGTAGGAAGTGGCCCCGTGTCTAGATCAGCCAGCAGCATGTGACAGCAAATTGCATTGCAAAGCACACCACAAGTTCTGGCTCCCATGAATTCACTTTTGTGCCTTGGCATGGGACAAAATCCAGCTGGGCCTCTGCACTTCTTTCCCATAAAAGGTGTTTCTAAGTGTTGGGGGGCAGTAAAATACTGGAAGCTGGAAGCTGTTGCATATGCCTTACGTTGAGACTCAGAGTTAATGGCAGAGGATGTGGTCCTACACGCTGGCACTGCACTGTCCTTCCAGAGGCTGAGAGAGTTATGAGCCTTTTATGCTCCACTCTGACTGTGGGCTTTAGTGATCAGAGTAATAAATCAGTGTGCTCAGGAGTTATGTTGTGGCACAGTTTTCTCATTTTTTCATCTGTTCAGCTGTGTTCACAGTTCCCTCTCTGGAGTTGTCAGGGGAAGTGCAAAAGGTCCAAATTGTTAGGAAAATTCCCAAATACAATTAGTAGCATCAATGGACCAAGGAGATACTAAAAATTCACTTCAGTCTCACTCTTTCTCAAAGGAGGAGAAGGAATATGAGAAACAGAATGGGACTATAAATTAAATCTAAAAAGTAAAGGAAAAGATGACTGAAAGAGGACAGATTTGAATATCTTTTATTTAATATATTATCGGTGGTCAAAGCCCTGGGCACTCTGCTCTGGTTAGCCCTGAGGAAGGTGTTAGAGCAGATGGCCTCCAGAGGTCCCTGACAAGTGATTCTACAGATCTGCCATTTTGCTATCTCTATTTTCCAAAAAGGAAGAGTATAGTGGGAGAACAAAAGGGGAAAGTAAGAAAATCTTTTCTTTCTTGTCACATAGCATTCATTCCTGTTAACCTTTCTGATTGTTGCCAACCTTGTCAACATAAGGAATCTCATTAGCTCAATAGATTTTTATAGTCCAATATCAAGGCCAGATATATTTCCACACATGATGTACATTAGTCAGTAATGTCTGTAGGGACAGGTTTTTGGAGCCTTGGGCCCCAAGCTCTTTGGATAGATCCATGAAAACACACGATGCTGTTTCTATCACTTCTGGCACTTTGTCACCCACTGCAATTTTCAGCCTCAGGTAAGATGTTAACCAGAGTTAGGCTCAGGCAGAACAGGCAGATATCAGCTGGAGCTGGCTAACAACCAATCTCTTTCCATCTCTTCTTACATGCCTGTGCCCTTCCCAGATCTCATGGAATACTTCTAGCCCTACTCCTCTCTCCTGCTTGTGCTGCATTTTGCACTTCTGAGGCAATTAAACAGTTTTGCCTGACAACTGAGAATCCCTGGACCGGCTTAGGTGAGAGACTGGATTCCAAAATGAGTCTGTTGAGCTTCACCGCTGACACAGGGAGAACTACATATCCAGGGACAGGAGGAGCAATGGGGTGCAAGCCAGAACAGACCTATCCCTTTACACTCAAATCAGTGTTAAATTTCATCCATAGATCCATGCTTTTCTCTATCTGAGAGCACTCAGGAGTTGGAGAAAGCTTTACAAAAGGATTTGAGGTTGAACTCGAAAGACTGATGCTCCTCTAAGCAAGTTTTAGGTACTGAAGTGCAAGACTGCAACTCTGAAAAGATTTGCTACTTTGTTCCCTAATCCAGGAGGTGCCACAGCTTTTTCCTCATCTCCATGCTCCCAAATGTAAGGCACTTGAATCAATATATGGTAATGAAATATCACATCTGTTTGTTTACAAATGATATGTGAATGTGACTGGTATTGCACATGTGCCAGCAGTTTATAGCACAGTTAGTCAGAGAAAAGTTGAAAATGAAGAAAAAGGAACATTTCTAGGCAGAGGAGGAAATGGGTGGGACAAGATGAAGAAGAGAACAGGCTTAGTCTGCCTCCCCCCACTGAAAACGTGCATATATAAGTAGTGAAGGAGAGATTTCCCTTGCTCCCTGGCTGTCATTCATTCTCTGCTTTTCCCTGGGGACCAGACAGCATCCCTCCAAGATGTGGGCAAAGGTACTGTCTTGTTTCTTTGTGATGTAAGATGAACTTTTCTGTTTAAGTATTTGTATCCTCACTTGTACATGTATCAGCGGCTGTGCATCATGCTGCGGGATACATGGTTCACCTGCTTTAAGTGTCCTGCACTCCTTGAGGTGGTCTTAATGCTTTCGTGCAGAGCTCACTGAGAACCCAGCTGAAATAATCACAGAATCATTTGAATTGGAGGGCACCCTTAAAGGTCACCCAGTCCAACTCTCCTGAAGCAAACAGGGAAATCTACAGCTTCATCAGGTTGTTGTCCCGTGGGGACAGACTCTTCAGCAGGGTCTGTGGCAACAGGACAAGGGGAAATGGTTTCAAACTAAAAGAGGGGAGATTTTGACTGGAGATAAGAAGTTTTTTAAAAATAAGAGCAGTGGGACAGGTTGTCCAGAGAGGGGGTGGATGCCATGTCCCTGGAGACATTCAAGGTTAGGCTGGATGGGGTTCTGAGCAACCTGATGGCGCTGTAGGTGTCTCTGTTCATTGCAGGGGAGTTGGACTAGATGACCTTTGAAAGTCCCTTCCGACTCAAACAATTCTTTGAGTCTGTGATTTTGCTTTGGAGAAAAGCTGGAACTGTAGCTTATCTGGAGTTCAGTGGAAGCAGGCAAGTGCAAGATAGGTCTGCCATGTCCCATCTCCCCCTTAACCCCAAGCTCAGCAAAACTTGGGATAGGGATTCTGCTTCTCAGGGAAGTTAAATCTTGCTGCCTTAAGTGCTAGTGGCTGCGCTGGCCTGAACTGCCACATTCTCGCTGATTTCAGTTTCAATGAAAAGGTGCTATAGAAACCAGGTAGCTTTTGTTTGTGCTTCTTTATATGTAATGCACCTATGTGTGTGTTTATGTGTATACACACAAATATACATGTATATACATGCATCTTGCAAAGTTACATCACCCACAGAACTCAGCCTCAGGGGCTTATAGAGGAAGCAGCAGAAATAGAAAACAGATGAAGACACCAAAGAAAGTGAAACCAACATATAAATAACAACATAGCATTTCTGGGAATAAAAAAGGGAAGAATTCAGATTTTGCTGATGCAATTCATGTAAGCAGGGACAGGATGATAAAAATGGCCAGCTAACCCTAGACTGAAAGAAAAAAGAAAGAAGGACATTTAATATTTTTTTTTCCTCTCTCAGACGATTACAGGGAACTTTGCCAACGTGATTCATGGTTTGAATAAAAACCACCTGACAGATGTGGTCATTCAGAGAAGCAAGCGAATGATTCTGGATACCCTTGGAGTAGGACTTCTGGGTACCAGCACCGAGGTCTGCCAGAAAGTCAAACAGTACAGCAAGGTAAGAGGTTTAGTATTCATAGCATACGCTAAGGTTTACCTAGGAGAAGCAATGGAAAATATAGGCTGTAAGGGAATACTTTGCAATGGCAGTGAAATTCTTTTGGAGATGGAAATAGAGACATAGTGTTCTTCCCATTGGAGACAGGGAAACTATATTGCTGGAGTTACTTCTAACTATGGATGGGCAAAGGTCTGTGTAACAGACAGTATGCTAAGACTGCCAGACACAAGCAGAACACAATTACGAATCCCGTCCTTTCACCTATGAGATTTCATTAAAAGCATCAGCATAGGAAACGTTACTTAGCACTGGACTTTCCAGCATGAAGAATGGTTACATGGGTGAAAAATTAGTATCAGGTTATTTCCAGTCCATGAAACATAACTGCTATCTGAGGTACATTGGTCATGTTTCTCCCCCAGTCCTGTTCTGCTTAAATTAAAGGAATACTTGACCTCAAGGAGAACCTATCCAACATAGGCCCATATCAGTAAGGGGGAGTTTAGCTTTCTGTTTTACTGGTAATACCTGGCTAGCTGGACTTGGGCTACAGAACACTCTGTGCCAGTAAGGTTCCTTGCACAGATATCCCCATTCCCAATCTGTTCTAGTTAGCCCTTTTATTTAATTTCATAAAGAGCTCTTTGTTAGCAAAAAGATCTGCACATCAAAAAGACAGGAACAGTGCCATTTAAAGCATGGGAGTACTAGCATCAGGAGGTCATATTTCATTTACCCACAGCCTACTAAGACATTGAAAAACATAACCTTTACCTGGAGATTTTCCCCAACAAAATGATGATAACTCTGAGGAAATGCCAATGAGTGGTGAGGAGGAACACCAATGGCCAGAGATTTTGTGAAGGTCCTGAATGGTTAGGTCCATCGTGTTGGTCTGCCCCCTGACAGGAGTCAGCAGAAAACAGACTTTCTTTTCACACTTTCCAATAGAATCATATTTTTCCTATGAAAGGAAACAGTTGAGTCTCAAGCGGGTAGGATTTGATCTCAGCGCACATTTATCTTTCGGTTCAGTGTTTTGAATTAATTGATGTCAATTTGTTCCAGATCTACAGCTCGGATATATCCAGCACCATCTGGGGCCACTTGGATTTCCGACTGCCTCCTCTGTATGCAGCTTTTGTGAATGGAGTGGCTGTAAGGGATGCTCTTTTACTTGCTCTTAAATCACACTAATTGATTGCATTTTCACTCCAAAGAACAGAATGCTCCTAAAAACTTAGTTTACTTTTTTTCTTGTTCCTGAAGCCTCCTACAAAATTTCATTACACTGTTCTCCTGACGTGCTTCAACTTTCTTCCTAATTTAGACCAAGCTCAATGTATAATAAATATCTGCACCCCTTAGCTTTAATCTGAGACTTGGGACTGATTTTGTAGGTCAGAACTCTATAGCTTCTTGCAGACTGGCTATGGCAACTGTGTAACAAAGAGATGCTCTAGCTCTCATGAATTTCACCAGATTTTACTCCAGCTGGCTAAGTACAGTTGCAGGAAAACACAGATACAGACATACACATACATACATACACACAGCTGGCATCAGGATTCTTCAAGGCAGGGATTGTGTTTTCCTCTGTTTATCCAGAAGGCATTCCTCAGCAGCCTGACACAGAGTTTGACAGAAGTGTGTATGCCCAGCATTACAGGGCAAGATCTGAGCATAGGGGAGCACTGACACCTTTCCAGCTCACACATCTCTGAAGGAAGACATGAGTGAATAGATGTGAAAGTTCAGATTTTGAGGTGTTATTAAAAATACTGTTCCTGATGCTCTCTGTTCCTTGGGACTTCTGGGAATGTCTAATGCTGGGCTCTGGGTATAGGAAAGAGAAGGCATCACTAGATACTCATAAGGGCTAGGTAGCTCTTTCCAGTTTTAAGACCATAGCTTTCTTGGACTTAGGCTGCTATAGTTTTAAGGGTCTAAGCCCTAATACCATCATCAGTTGTAGAGCAGGGGAAGTAATTTAATCGTGTTTATATACTGTTATGAGGGAAGTGAAAACTCACCAGTGGACCTAGAACTGCTGCTTTTATTGTACCATGTAATTAAACTAGCAAAAAGCACATTGTAGAAAAGAAGGATCATTGCCAAACTGATTTTAGACCAGTGCAAATAGAGTTACAATTACACACCATTGAGACAAGCTTTATATTGTATTTACATGTCATGTTGAGTGATAGTGGGACCAAAGGACTTAGAAGAAAGACATTTTTAATTTTTGCTTTCTTAGATTAAGGAAAATCTAGTTCTTCAGCCTTTTTTACACCAGCTATAGTATTTTCATTTGACTGAACCAATCTTGCCCAGTCAGAGTTTAATTCTGATGACAAATCATGGCTTCTCTTTTTGTTAGGTGCACTCAATGGATTTTGATGACACATGGCATCCTGCCACGCACCCATCTGGGGCCGTGCTCCCTGCTGTGATGGCTCTGTCTGAGGCCTTTCCTCAGAAGAAAAAGATCTCAGGTCTTGACCTGCTCTTAGCTTTCAATGTGGGAATTGAGGTGCAAGGCAGGTTGTTACGCTTTTCCAGTGAAGCCAGGAATATTCCCAAAAGGTATGTAAAAATACTTCTAGTTGTAAGTTGAGTGGAAATGTTAATATTTTTAGTTAAATGCCAATTAAAATACAAATGGCATGGGTAATTGTATTTTCTGTTCTTTGTTCAGCAATTTAGGAAAACTTCAAGTGAATCTTAAATATAAATGTTTACATGACTCCTCACTGCTTGGCGAATAGATTTCTTTTTAAGAGCATCTATCAGCTTACAAAAAACTGTTGATCTCTCTATCAACTAGATCAACAGCAAAAGGGCAACACTGAATAGCGCAGGTCTCAAGCTCTTGGGGACAAGGACAACCACAACTCCCTTGCATAATGGAGTCAACTGTACTGAGTTCAGAGCAGAGCCAAATGAGACAGGGTGTGTTTAGGAAATACTCATGAAGCACAGGATAGACTAGATGTCTTCTTGCTGTCTTGTGCATTTTCCTTCTGGTTTTGCAAAACTGGTTCAGAATAACAAAACATGCATCCTCCAGTATGTATAATTTTCAGACAACTAAAAACTATTACACTTTTGCCATTACTGTGTTCTGTATGCCCTGAATGATAAGCAATTCTAGCTTTTCAGTTGCTTTCTGGGGAGGCCTCTATTAAAACAAGTGTTATTCCAGTTTAACTTGTTCCTGGAGAAAAGCAAAAATTTCTTCCATTAGGACTATGGGTGAAATTTGAATGCATGTTTCTTACAGTCCAATCCACACCAGTAAAGGGAAATTGAAGCTTGAGTGTATAATGAATCTGAGTAACTTTCTGAACTATAGTAATGAAGAGATTTTGTTTTTTTCAGGTTTCACCCACCAACAGTAGTTGGTACAATGGGGAGTGCAGCAGCTTGTGCAAAACTGCTAGCTCTTAACCAGATGAAATGTAAAAACGCCTTGGCTATTGCTGCTTCCTATGCAGGTTCCCCACTAGCTAATGCAGCAACTCAAACAAAGCCCCTGCACATTGGCAATGCTGCCAAGCATGGACTGGAAGCGGCTTGTTTAGCATCACAGGGTCTTCAAGGAAACAATCAGATCTTGGACATGGAGTCAGGGATAGGTGCCTTTTATACAGATTACAACCCACAGACTCTGCCAACCTTGCAGTCCTATCCCTGGCTGTTGGACCAGCAAGACGTAGCCATCAAACGCTTTCCTGCTCATCTTGGAACGCACTGGGTGGCTGATGCAGCATCTTCTGTAAGGAGGAAGCTTGTTGAGAACAGTGACATATTGCTTATCCTTGATAAAATTGAGAAAGTTATTGTAAAAGTCCCAGAGGTCAAATACGTGAACAGACCCAACCCTAATTCAGAACATGAAGCTCGACACTCCTTTCAGTTTGTTGCCTGCTCTGCTTTGCTGGATGGCAGCATGTCCATCCAGTCCTTTACCAGTGAGAACATTCACCGGCCAGCCTTACAGAAGCTCCTCTGCAAAACACAGCTAGAGCACCCTTCTGATAACAAACCCAGCTTTGAGAGTCTTTATTGCGAAGTGACTATTGTGCTTCGGGATGGCAATGCAATTAGTGACCGCTGCAACACGTTCTATGGACACTGGAGGAAACCTCTGACAAAGCAAGACGTGGAGAAAAAATTTCAGTCCAATGCTTCTGAAGTCCTTCCTGCAGAAGCCATAGAAGGCATTCTAGAGACTGTGTACAATCTAGAAAAAGTAGAGGACTGTTCTGTATTAAACATGTTTTTGTCAGGACAGTCAGCTAGAGTACTTCCAGAGAAGCTGCACTTAAAACATTCCAACTCATAAAGCAAACAAAATTCAGGAAAAGCTCTTATTTAATGACCAAAGCACCAAGTAAATAATTTAGAGAGAGCATGCATAGTTCAGTCAGAAGGGCTGAAAATTACTTCAGCTATCTTTATATGTTTATAACGCTAAAGGTAGAGCAATCCCAGCATGCTGCACAAAAAAAAAATTCCTTCCTCTTCTGATAAAAAAAGTCTGTATGTTCTGCTTCTACTTAATCACTTCATGAAGGAAATACAAATTCATGGAAATGCTACTGCGAGAAACACCACTATGAGGACAGAAAATAGAAGCCTTTACATATGTATTGCTGTACATTTAATTATACAACCTTCTTGAAGAGGCCACCTGCTATGCCAGAACTTTGGTGTGTGTGCTAAAAGAAATACAGTAAACTCAGTAACAGCACTTAACACTCCAAAAGACATCACGCTTAGCTTTGGAGACTGGCATTCTGGAACCAGCTTGCAGAGCAAGAGGGACAATCCTATGGTCCTAGACCTAAAAGCATTATTTCCCAGTCCCATCTTCTGGCTGCTTCATAGTATGGGTTTATTACTGCTGTGTTCCCACTTCAATTACAAGGCACTGGCTTGAGAGGAAATTCAGCCCCATTTTCCCCAACAGCAGCCAAAGACACTTTTAAGGAAATATGTGCTTAGGCTGCGGGCTTTTTATATTTGGTAGGCAAGAAACATTTTAAGATGAGCTAGGTTATGATAGCCCTATATTTTCTGATTGCATAAATGTGACTGTAGTCCTGTTAAAAGATATACCACACTCTTGCTGAATGTTTGAAAGTTAAACAAAAACTGTTTCTGCCATGCTGAGTTTATGCTGTATATGTCTTTCTTGCTTTCATAACCATTCCGCACTGATCAGGATGCGATCTTCAGATTACTGCAAACATTGCAAAGCATGGGCTACAGTACATTAGTTACTATAGACTGAGAGCTGTATGTATCAAAACACTTCACATGTTGAGACCACCAAGTGTCCTTAGGAACAGTCACCTTAACTTGACAACCAAAACCGTTCTCTGAAGTCTTGCCACTTGTCTTAAAATGTATAAAATGTATGTACAAAAACTAACATCACAAAATAAAACTAATTTTAGTAAATGAACCCTAAATTATTTCATTTATTATTATTTTATTATTTTCCACATGCAAAGTATTAATCTGTACTTAAGCCTCTGACTCTTGGTTTATAAAGTTAGTTTATCAAAAAACAACTTTTTTCTTTTCTTTATCCCTTTTGATTAGAAAGCAAAACTGAATTACTGGTCTATGCCGAAGATACACATTGAGACACACAGACATTTCCAGCCATGTCATCTGTAATTATACCTGGGTAATGTCAAATATAAGTTACTGACAATGAATAGTGTTGTGATTAAACCCCACTGGATGAGGAAAGTGTCTGTATTACCTTACCACAACTGAATACATTTGGATTCATAAAAATAAAATAATAAACACAGTTCCAATGAATGTTTTCTATGTTAAAGGTAAACAAATAGGATAAATTTGGCAGTAACTATTTAATGAATTACAGGTTAAGAAAAAAAAAAAAAAACACCAAAAACACCAAGAACTGTGAAGTTTGATAGCTGCATTATTTTATTAATACCATCAAAAGTAGCTAAATGTTTATGCTTTGCTAAATTGATTTCCTCACAGAAGTCTGTACACTCCCCATCAGGCAAGTTTCAGGACCTCCTCTACCATTGTTCCAATTCCATCGAAGATCTCATGCAGAGGAGCCTTGCACATGAAAGCACAGGTAGTAACTATTTTATTGGCTTTATCCACATGGGATTCACTGACATCTTTGCAAATGTGCTTACATCCAAGCTCTGCTATAGCAGATGCAGTTTCAGCATCAGGAAATCTGTAAATAAAAAAGATTGCAATAACCATAAAAAGAGATATACAGCCATAAAGTTGTGCCAATGTTAACTTGAATGAGAGAACAACAAGAATATTTAAGTGGTTTTACAGCTGACCATGACAAGAGACTAAAACAGACTTCCACTGTCAGATCATCTCCATTCCCCACAGCAACTGATCCAATATCTTTGAAAACAGCTGACATGCAGTCACGACATGCCACAAGGTACAACTCTGTTTAACAGTCTTTCAGTGTGTTTATAATGTGATATTAAGTACAGCAATAACTGATCCGTAATATTTTCTGAGATGCTAGATGAACCTGCAGACACATTAGACCTTTTCCAGCACCTCCATATAAAGTCTTCCTCTGGGATTCTGCAGTGAGTTTGATTTTCTGGAGACAAGGCAGGAACGGGAAGATAAATGCAATCCCCAACCATCACTGCTGATAAAATTTCTGAATGGAATTTCTTATCAGGACTTAACAGTCTTTAAAGTAGCACCAACTTCTGCCATGGTTCTCACTTGTTTCTCCTAAACTGCCACCAGAAAAACTTCACTGAAAATCCCCAAGTAGATAAAATCCCACAGGCACAGTTTAAGTGGCCACTCCAATTATCAAGTTTTTGAATGCCACCTGGACAGGTATCTATCCTTTGCTTATACATTTGTAAAGTGAATCACAGTCTTTGGAGGTATTCGAGTAAGATACAGAATTTACTTTCTTAACATGAACTACAATCTGTCACTTGGTTACCATGAGTGCAGCAAAAGGTGGAGGAGGAAGAAAAAAGATCCCTCTGTTCAGCCACTTTCAGAACTGACAAACAATACCTGCAGCAACTCATCAGCACCCACACTGAACAGTAAAGTCTGTGCAGGAGCCTGAGCCTTCGGTGGCTTGCGGACAGATGGTTTAAGCAAAAGATAGGGTTCTATTTTTCATATTTTCTTTAATTGTAGAGTGGATGTTGCTATCATAGGTAAAAAACACAAACTAATGTATTTCTGAATTCAGGGATGAACTGTCCCAATTCTGTAATGCATAAGAAGTGCACCTGCCATAAGAGGTGCATCAACAATTGCTACACAAGTAGAAGTTTAAAACGAGCAAAATGCTACTAAGGAATAATTATTGAAGTTACTGACTTCAGAAGCCTCAGCCCTTTGCACAGAAGACTGGCCACTTTCTAATCTTAATTCCCACACAAATTAATTCCATCCGTTTCCTTCTTACCTTCCATCTATGTTTTTATCTTGGCCGACTGTGACCTCACAACCAGGAAAGACTTTAGCTGCCAGGACAGGTGATATACAGCACAACCCAATGGGCTTTTTAGCACTGTGGAAAGCTCGGAGAGTGGAGTTCACATGTTCGTTGACGGTGCAGTTCTTGCCATCTACAGCCCAGGAACACAGGTTCTTTGCCACACCAAATCCACCTCGAAACAAACAAACACTCAAATACAAGGCACTGTTAAAAGCCATTAAATTCAACACCAGAAGGACTTCTCCTTTTTACAATGTTCTCAAAGCATACATAGGACCTTCAAGTTCCCATACTAAAAGCTCTTGGGTATATGAAACATAACGGGTTTATAATTTTAAAAGTTTAGCTGCAGATTTTTTTATACCATGTACTTTCCACAGGCCAGAAAGCTTCATATTTCTGCAGTGAGAAACAGAGAAACCACACATCACAGATTTGTTTGCTAGACACTGGAAAAACTGCACCATATGCACCCCTCAATGACCAAGAGAGGGATCAGAGGAAAGACCAACAGTGATTTATTGTTGGCGAGCACAGAATGCAGAATTAATGCAAACAGTGGTTTGCCCTTCCACAGTAATTTAAGTCACCAGGTTTAGCTCAGTACTTATTACAGGAGACCTTCCCATTTTTAGAATTCTCTCAGAAGTTAAAGAAAATAAAACAAAGTTAACACAATAAGAACAGAACATCATTCATAAAAAAGTATTTTTAATGTGTGATATTCTGAAATATGACACTTGTGAACAATAATTTCCTATTAAAAATAATGTTTCTGAAAGTTAGTTATAACAAACCATTACCTGCATTTAGCCATCATCTAACTGTACGGATTATATTTTCAGCACAAACTTGCTAGACTGCAGCACAATTTGCTAGATTTAGAGCTATCAGAATAATCACACAAAGGGTAACCATCCATTATATTTGGTTCCTCATGCATAACATGCACAGCATCAACTTTCCTACAATAAACAAACACTGTTTTCCAGAAGAATTTCAAGGGACAACAGGAAGAAGTTTTGCATTTTTAATATTTGTACTTTCCCTCCAACCCCCTTGTCCTCTTCTGAATGTTATCTAGAATCTCTGAAGTGAGGTTTTAATTTTCAAACTTAATAGCGCTTATCTGCCTGTAACAGTTATTGCTGCAACTCCCCAGCTCCCCTGAGCCTAGGTTATAATACAACATGAAATTAATGTGGAAAATATTTGCTAGTGTCTACTCTCAGCTCTCTGCTCCTGATGTCACTGATCCATTATAGCTGGGGAAGTGACTTCCCAGTGCTATCCATGCACTCCCTCTGCCGGCCTCACTACAGAAGGCAGTGTAACTATTTCAGTCAGAACTTAGGCACAGTTGTAAAGACAACATTTAACAAAGTTATGGATATTCTGGAAAGTGATTTTGAGCGAGTCGGTTTCCTCATTATGCTTTAGTTTCTTCATTCCTTACTTCCCAGCTCATCTGCAAGTAGGTACCAAAGGCTTGACAATCTTCAGAAATAAGGAATAGTGTGATGTATAAAGAATACTGTGGCATTTTAAATTAATGAACTGTATCACAGAATCATAGAATATCCTGAGTTGGAAAAGACCCATAAGGACCTTCGAGTCCATCCCCAAGATGACGTATCAGCCCATGAGAGCTTGCTAGAATACTTTCTCATCATCAAAAATACAAAGACAAAATCCACATACCTCTCAAATTCAAGAGTATGATTTATTAAATCATGAATTTAATTAATTCTTTTCTAAGTTCTTTGCAATTGAAGAATCACAAATTATTTTATTGTAAATGCACTTACCAGGGAAAATAACTGCATCAAATTCACCTACTTTCAGATCAGCCAAATCCTGAATGTTTCCCCTTGCCAGCCTGGCACTTTCAACTAACACATTTCTCTTCTCATCTGCTGGGCTTCCTTTTAGATGATTGACAACATCCCTTTGCTCGATATTGGGGGCAAATATCTTCACCTGGAACAAAGAAATGATGCAATTCTGTGTGTACAAACAGAAGTCTTAACATTGTGACAACAAATGTCACTTAATGAAACGATCTTTTATTTCAAAAGCACCTCATCATGATGCATGGATTTCAAGGGGTGGATCTGTTGCATTGAGTGAACGCTCAGATGATGTATCAGTGTGGATAAACCGAGCAATTCTCCCCATCCTATTCCTAAAGCTTTTTGATAGGGAGTGCACTCTTTGGCCAACACTACTCATTTTGGTGGGGATTGTAGGTAACCTCAAGGACAAATAGAGCACTGTGATTGGTACCACTGCAAGCCTGGATGCACAGCAGAGCCTACAGGAAGGCTGCTCCTAGCTCTTACGGGTTCAGAGCGCTAAAACAGATGTAAAAAGAAAAAAAGTTTAGTAGAGAAAAATGCAAACTTTACAAGCATTTCTAACACAGCCATGACTCACTTTCCCAGTAGCAGGAAGTAAAAAACAAAACATGGAAGCACACATGTTGGTTAGGTACCAAATTGAAAAACCTCATTAAAAACACAGAAGAAGGCTGGCACAGGGGCTGTTCTCACATGTGTTTTGATACTTGCTTTAAAGACATCTCAGTGTTGCTGATGTAGTCAATTTCAGGGAGGTGAAGTCATGCTAAACACGGGGCTTTGTGTGCTCGCAGCAGCAGACCACTGGCTGTGGCTCCTCGCAGACAGACAGCCACCACTTGCTGTCACGAGAAGCCACAGACAGGTCTACTGCGCCGCGCTACATCCTGCTCCCAACTTCTCAGAGGGGTCTGAGCTACCTAAAAAGTACCAAAAGCCATTCGAAAGCCGAACCCTGACCTGGGGACGACTACGGACCACCCCCTGCTCCGTGCCCAGGTCTCCCCGCCAAGGAGGGCCCTCCCCGGGCACCGCTCGCCCGCAGCCGCCTGAGGCGGAAAGGGCCGCGTCGGGGGGCGGCCGCGCTCCTACCTCAGCGCCGCCGCGGCTGAGGTGCACCAGCGCGGCCGAGGCCTCATGAATCTCGCTGCCGTCGAAGACGCCACAGCCGGCCAGCACCACAGCCACCCGCTTGCCCATGGCGGCGTCCGAGACAGACGGTGGCAGCCAGCCGCAAGGCGGCGGCAGCGCCCAACGCCGCAGCCTACAGGGAGGTTGGGGAGAGGGGGAAGGGCTGCAGCACTGCGGGGCTGGGGCGGGGCAGCACCGCCCCCGAGGCACGGCGGAGGCGTGGAGGGGGTCCCCTCACAGCGCGTTTCCAGTGCGCCTGTGCTGCCCCGGCCTCCATTTTGTGGTGCCGCGTCAGTTCTCCCTCAGCGTCCGGAGTCTGGTCCTTCCGTCTTGTACGTGTGTTACGCTCACCCTTCCAATACTTGAAGGGAGTGTATAAACAGGAGGCCGAGGCCGAACGGCTGTTTACTTGGTTGGATAGTGGTAGGACAAGGGGGAATGGTTTTAAACTGAGAGAGGGGAAGTTTAGGTTATATATTAGGAGGCAGTTTTTCACTCAGAGGGTGGTGACACACTGGTTGGCCAAGGAGGTTGTGGATGCCCCATCCCTAGAGGCATTCAAGGCCAGGCTGGATGTGGCTCTGGGCAGCCTGGTCTGCTGGTTGGTGACCCTGCAGGTTGGCGACATAGCAGGGGGGTTGAAACTCGATGATCATTGTGGTCCTTTTCAACCCAAGCCGTTCTATGATTCTGTGATATGATTCTACCTCCTCTGCCTGCAAGATGTAGCTGGGGTAGGGTTTACGAATCAGCAGGATATGTGGAAAGTCTAGGTGTTCTTTGGTTTTCAAAGGAGCAGGCTTGTCTGTTTCACTTCTCTTCTGGCCTGCTTACACAGAGGAGCATCCACCCAGCCAAAGCAGAGAAGATGCATCCTGTGGATTTTTGTAGCTGTTCTAAAAGATGCATTTCCCCTGGTTGCCTGAAAGTAGTTCTGCTCCCTGGAGGACCTGGAAAAGGCTCAGTGAGGCCCTAGCTTTGCATCATATAATCATTAAGGTTGGAAAAGACCTATAAGATCACAAAATCTAACCTAGCCTGCCCCACCATGCCCACTGACTGTGCCCGTCAGTGCCACAGCTATACATTTCTTGAACACTTCAAGGAACAATGACCTCACCTCCTCCCTATGCCTTTTCCATTGCTTGACCACTCTTTCATAGAAGAAATCTTCTCTTACATCCAACCTGAACTTTCCCCAGTGAAACTTGAGGCCATTCTCTCTATCCTATCATTAGTTATATGGGAGAAGAGATCGATCCTCACCTCACCACAAACTCCTTTAAGGTTATACAGCACAGTAAGATCTCTCCTGAGCTTCCTCCAGACTGAACAATCCCAGTTCCCTTAGTTTCTCCTCAAGAAACTAGTACTCCAGAACCTTCATAGCTTCACTGCCCAACATTTATGAGTTTTCTCTGGCCTATGTCCAAAACAGCAAAGAGCAATGAAAGCATTTGACAACAGGTTCACCTCTGAAACCAGACCTCTCCAAGGTGTGAAATCACTATGATGGGGGAAAAAAGCTGCTAGCATTGCCCTGCCTGCACTTGTCTGCCCTAATGACTGCCCAGCCTCATCTGGGGCTTGGCCATACACTCCATGGGCATCCAGAGGTGAACTGAGCTGTGCTGCAGGTGTGTTGTGTGTGTCTAGTCTGATCTCCTGATGTTCTGATGATATCCTCTCTTTCAAATCAGCACTGCTTCCGCTGCTCCCTGACACTTGGAGATGTAGAACAAGCAATGACATTTGGTACCTGATTTTAAGTAAACATATTTATTTGGAGTGGAAAAGAGGATTCACAGCCCTGCTGCCATCGGTTAAGTTCAGATTTAGGATGCCAAGGCCTGGCAAGTGTCAATGATGTTCAGAACTAAACTAGCTGTTCCAAACTGCAACAGGATTTGCTTTCCCCTTTTCTCACTGCTCCACACTGTGATTCTCATAGGCAGAGACAATAAAATACTGTTTTATAATAGGAAAACATAGAATATTCTTGTTTCAGGAAAATATTTATCTTTCAATAATTCAAAGAAACAATCTAGTAAATTAGAAAAACATAGGAATCCAATCAAGCCCAGAAGATGGTATTTGTCACTAATCTCAGTTTCTCCCTGGAGCCTGCTAGTGGACCAAGACGGAGATCAGCTCTGTGAGTTGACAAAGGGCACACTGATATGTTTTAAATATTTAACTAGGCAGCTGCTGACTCAAAGTGCTGGCATATAAGCTTTTTAAGCTCAAGTGTATTTATTCTGAAATTCATTAATAATTTACTTTCTGTTTTAAAGCATGGTTCACAACATAACCTAGCTTACATGAGAAGAAAAAAACAGTACTGTAATGTGAAAGTTTCCTGTTGGATGCAATGAGATGAAATACAAAAAAAACCCCAAAACAACAACATTCAGTATGCTTTGCCATCTTAGTCATCTGACCCAACACTTCCAGCAACCACTGCAGTGCCTGAATGCACACTTACCAATCTGAACTGCAAACGTGGAGCTCACAACTAAGAACTGGTTAATCGTATTTCTAGTTTGGCTAATGAGCAGTTCTGGCGCCTTCATTATGGCACTTTGCTTCTCTGCATTTTGATTTCACAGAAGGGATAAATTATGCTTCCCTTATATCATGAAGCACTGCAAGAGTTGCACATCAAAATCTCTACAACTATGACCTACTGTTGTATTGCACACTAATGCGTGTTTTTGAACAGGACTAACACCTTGAATGACACTGAAGCTAGGAAACAAGTCGTTGCATATTTTATTTTATAAACAACAGAAAGGGCATCATTATAAGGCAGACAAAATACATGAGATGAAAATGAAATATAGAAATCCATGTGTGTACAGCTAATTTGTATGTATTTATTAAATTAATACATAGTGCTTTACTACATATATTTAAAAGACAAGCAATATAGAATCAGGTAGCAATGAAGTGGGATGCAGACATATAGATAACTAAAGATGTTAATAGCCCTGCTGCCTTACAATTTTCTGAACACTTTCAGTAATTTCAGCATTAGCCAAATTGATATTCAGTAGCATATTCTGCAGTTTTACATAAGACACAGGGTTTTTCACCTCACATTTGGTGGGTTTAATATATTCTAGCTTAGTGCTGAGTAGAGAACAGACAGTTCCCGAGGAGCTCACATGAAAGGAGAAGTGGTATTTCTGATTCCTTGCAGTCAGAAGTCTGCAGTGAACAGCATTAACCAGCACTCCAACTGCAGATGCCAGCTACCTAATGTGAGAAACATGCTCAAGATAAAAATTTCTAATCAGGCAAAGATCTCTGTGAAGGGAAGTTTATTCATTATTGCAATAACAGGCACACACCCCCTACTGACAATGAAGAAACTACGCACCTAATCAGTGAAATCCATTCCATTATAAACCCTGCGTCCAATGCCTCCCCTGGCACTCATTGGTTGAGCATCTCAGTCTCACAGACTTCTGATGCTGTTGCTACAATACATTTCCATACAATGTCTTTTACCAACCCATTATTTTGAGGTATGTTCTGTACTTTTTATGGAGATAGGAGGACAATATTTTCAAAATTAGCACTGATTCTGTTCTGTACCAGACTCTCCCCTACCCTATATAATTACCTTACCTAGTGCCTGTGCCAATTCTACCTAGGTCAGAATGACCCAGTCTCAGCTTTACTCTGTTCAGTTTTCTTTGTGAAAAACAACTTGTCCTACACTACATACAGAAATACTGGATATTTCCATTGCAAAACACAATCTACCTCTCACACTAACAGCTTCCTGGACTCTAATGCCTGTTTGAACTCCACCAATTTGGAGGAAAAAAAGCTGTTTTCTGCACAGATGCTGCTGGCCACTCTTAGCCAAGATAAACTGATCTCAGCATTGTAAAAATGCGAGAATAAACTATAAAATACCTATCCTGTAAGTTGTTAAAAACAGCTTGTCTTTCCCTTTGGTGCCGGGTTCAAGGTTCCTCTGGATAAATTATAGTTCTAAAGGCAGGTATTCAATGCAACTTGTAAAACAGCACCAAAGCAGTATTTTAAACCACATACTAGCCTGCTAAAATTACTTCAGCTAAATAACAAAGCTGCATAGTTGCCTAAATTTCCAGAAACTGAAATCCTCATTCAGTCATGTGATGTTTTCTTAGTCAGTCATTGCAAAATTGTCTTTGGTAGTGGAGGAACAAATAATAAACATACAAATGCAGCCAAATGCAGCTGAGTCAAACGCTAAGTAGCACACCTCACTGTAATTTTCCATAGGAGTATTCTACTGCACATTCCTTCATTTCCATTTATACTGTCTTCTTTCACAGGTGCATTTGGGACTCATTCCAAGAAAAGAACTACAAACAGAGAAACCTTAGCACCTTGAGGACCAGAGAGATGTTTAGGGGCCAGGAACATCTCTTATGAGGGAAGACTAGGAGACCTGGGGCTGTTCAGCCTGGAGAAGGCTCAGGGAGGATCTGATCAATGCTTATAAATATCTAAGGTGCGGAAGACGAGCGTACAGGACCAAGCTTTTTCCAGTGAAGCCCAGCAACAGGACAAGGGGCAATGGGCACAACCTGGAACATAATTAGTTCCATGCCAACATGAGGAAAATCTTTATGGTGAGGGTGACCGTGCTCTGGGACAGGCCGCCAGAGAGGCTGTGGAGTCTCCTTCTATGGAGATATTCCAGACCCACCTGGACACTCTCCTATGTAGCCTAGTTTAGGGAACCAGCTTTAGCAAGGGGTTGGACTCAGTTATCTCCAGAGCTCCCTTCCAACCCCTACGTTCTGTGAGAACCCACCAGCACCACACCCGCTAACCGCAGCTGACACTGCACGCTGGTGCCTAGCGCAGCGTCACGTTTTAAAGAACGATTCAAGACACGCTTTTCCAAGGCACGAGGAAGGAGAACAACCTCACCCCTGCAGCTTTACGCCGTTCCCCTGCACCTCACACGTAGCAGAACCGCGGCCCGGCACGCTCTGCAGCCCGTCCCCCCGCAGCCGCTCCCCGCACACGGCCGAGGCCTGACGGGCGGCCCGGGCGGGAGGGGGCGGGCGCAGGGGCGGCCCCCTTCCGCCCAACTTCCCCCGGCCCCGGCCCCGCCGCCGCCTCAGACGGCCGCCAGCGCCCCCGGTACGGCACGGAGCCCCGCGGGCAGCCATGAGCGCCGCCGGCCGCCACCGATGGCTGCTGCTACTGCTGGCGGCGGCCTGCGGGCCGTGCCTCTCGGGCGAGTCTCACGCCCCGCAGCGGCGCTGGCCGGTGCCTTACAGGTGAGTGACGTTGGGGAGGGGGGGGGAGGCGCACGTCCCTGCTCCCAACCGCCCCGCGTTGGCGCAGGCGCGCTGTGGGGCTGCCCCTCCTCCCGACCTGAGGCGCGTGACGGGCGGGGCCTGGGCCGGGGCTGAGGTGGGGCTGGATAATACCTCTGTGCTTTCCCGGCTGTCTGGTGGTTTTTACTGAATTACGGAAGGCTATGCAGTAGGCTTACATGGTTTGTTGTTAGTGCTGTGTTTGGTGCGGTGAGCTCGCAAGTAGGAGAACAGGTATCACAGATGGGCCGAAGAGCTGCCTTTTTCCTTCCTCTGTCCATAGAAGTGAGAGCTCTTGCTTCAAACATGCTTGTTTAATTCATAGAATCATAGAATCATAGAATGGACTGGGTTGAAAAAGACCCAGTGATCATCAAGTTTCAATCCCCCTGCCATGGGCAGGGTCGCCAACTACTAGACCAGGCTGCCCAGAGCCACATCCACAGAATCACAGAATCGCCAGGGTTGGAAGGGACCTCAAGGATCATGAATCTTCAACTCCCCTGCCACATGCAGGGCCACCAACCATCCCACCTAATGCTAGACCAGACTGCCCAGGACCCCATCCAGTCTGGCCTTGAACACCTCCAGGGATGGGGCATCCACAACCTCTCTGGGCAGCCTGTTCCAGTACCTCACCACTCTCTCGGTAAAGAACTTCCCCCTGACATCCAACCTAAATCTCCCCTCAACTTAAAGCCATTTCCCCTTGTTCTGCTTTTATCTACCCTTTCAAAGAGTTGATTCCCCTCCTGTTTGTAGGCTCCCTTTAGGTACTGAAAGGC